ACCAACCACATCTATTGAATAGAAACATTAACTAAAACCCGTACAAAATGGACACCCAGGAAAAAAAATGCCACATGCAAATAACGAAATAATGAAGAATTATAAGACTGACTTACCAATGATGCCTGCGCCCATAAGAAACCGCGGAGCCATCTATTATGGTAATGGAACTCTATGAGAAGTTTCCTCTTGTGATGAGTTGCCACCCCTTGATCACTTATACTATCCTAACATTTAACTACATTTTCCAACTGAAATGGAATATTATTACCAAAATGAAATTTCCCATCCAGAATAGCCCTAAGAAGCCATGATCTCGAGCAGATTCCAACAAACTAAAAAAGTAGGGGGAGAGAATGAATATAATAAGGAGTTAAATACTCTAATTTTTAATATAATACTTAGTTACTACCTTCTGTCTTAATTATAAAACATTATTTATGGATTACAAACGAGATTTTATAATTAGGACCAGAGGTATTAATTAATTTGAAAAAATTAAAAAATATAAATAAATAAATTTAAAGTATTTATAATTATTTTTTTAAACTAATTTGGAGAATTAATGAAATTACTAATTTTTTAATTATAGCATATGTTACATGATCTTTCTAAAATATTTATATGACCATTAGATTATATATCAATTTATAAATAAAGCAAATTAGTTTGGGAAAAAAATAATAAATATAAATAGTTTCAAGTAAGTTAATATCTTCCCTAATCTTTCCAATTATTAAGAACTAGAGGTGGCATAATTTATTAATACACATAAATAATATATTTACAAAAATAATATAACATATGTTATAATTAAATAATTTATTTAGCTTTTTTAATCTTTTCAAGTTAGTTAACTAAGTCAAAAACCAGAAGAAGTAGTAGTATATATCTTTCGTCTTGAAAAAAAAAACAACACTTTATGGAGAGGAAGAAACAACATTGACAGATTTCAATAGGTAGGTTAATTTTTTTTAATTATTATTCACCCCTTCAGAATGCTTAAATAACACTCTGGTATGTTCAGTGTAAACAATATGATTATATAACTGTTTAATTAACAAATTGATATTGGCTTGTGGTAATCTCACGACTCTACTTGTTCTTTTTTTGACCTTGCGGCTCTACTTGTTCGTGTCATATACATAAACCAAATACAGGTACTATTTTAAATATTATACTCCTCTAGTCTTTAATATATAGATTAAAAATATTTATTAAATTAATTAATATGATTTTTTTTTAAACATTCTAATAATCTTCTTTAATTCCTTCCCTCCATCTCTTTTTTGATTATTGTTGAAGGAATATCAATAAGGTTAATTTGAAAAAATTAATAAATGTGTAAAATAATTCTTACATATAAAACTAATATCAATTCTCAAATTAAGTGTCACATTAAGAACTAAAGGAGTAATAAGTTCCATATATAAAAGAATTGAAAACGGTAAGGTGTGTGTAGTCTAACCAAATAGCTGAAGCTTTTAGTTTGGTGAATGGTAACTCCTAATAAATGATCATTTGAAATAGTTTATACGTAATTTTTTAATCATGATTTATAAAATATGAGATAAGTATGTAAGTAAAATTTTATCCTAACTTCCGTGAAACGTACTTATAGGTGCTTTTAAATACTATCCCAAACACGCTAACAATCATCCAAAAACTCAACATGCCATAAAATGAATTAGAGAAAATGACTGAAATATCCTTCTGTCAAATAAGTATTTTATATTTTCCCTTTGATTGTTAATTCAAAAATATATTTTAAAATAAAAAATTGTTATTTAACTATTTTTATTATTACTGATAATATAAGTTAATATTTTACTTATTAAAAATCATACAAATTAACAAACAGTACTGAATGTTTTTATACATGTCTTTTGTTCGATTAACTTTTTTTTTTCATTAGTAATCCTGTCATAACAAATACTGCCTCTGGTTCTTAATATAAGATCTCGTTTGATTTTTATTTTGGTCATAAATATAAAACCTCAATCCACTTTGTCTCTTATGTTAATTTTTTTTCAAGATATTCTTTCTAATAATAGTAGTTCTAGCCAATAAACTTGATTAGCAAGTAGAAAAAATAACACCTATTTATTATAAATAACTAACTTAACCTATTTCTTTAATTTACTCAAATCAATCAATTAGCTCTTATATTTAGGACTGGAGGTAATACAAGATAAATCATGCTCACTGCACCAAGTGATATTCTCAGTCTAGAAAACAGCACAGTCCTGAAGAGCTTTTTCGTCGTAGCAAAATCAAAATACACGAAAAATATCATTAAAAAAGAAAAAGAAAATAGTCTAGATGCAAAATGTAGGGTTTCCACAGAAATAATGTATGTAGATCCAGATCCTGGAAATACAGGCATCTGTTGTGATTAATTGAGTTTTGTTACCCAAAAATAGTTTTTTTGTCAGCTCACCCGTCTGTTAGTAGGCCAACATTTTTCAGCCTTTACCATCCTATCATTATGGACACGGAGAGAAATAAAAATGAGAAAATATTAATTGAAATATTGATGACTTTATTCGACTCCTCATCCAATCTGAAAATTAAAATCTTCTTCAATGATTATTAAATTATTCTACGCTTAATTTTCAAAGACTAAAATATTACTTTTTCGGTTCTTAATATAAGACCTAATTAATTAATTTGAGTAAATTAAAAATACTAGTTAAATTAGTTAATATGATTTTTTTCTTAAAACACCATAAGTATTTTCTTTAATGCTCTTCCTCCCTCTCCTATTTGATTATTTTAGAAAAATATCAATATGATTAATTTGAAAAAAAATTGATAAACATATGAAAAAAGTCTTATATATAATACGAATATCAACTCCTCAACTCAATTAGATCCTACATTAAAAACTAAAAGAGTACTTACTCTTGTACAAATAGAGAAGCATGTTGAGGTGTTAGGTTTAGCATTTTACTTGTCATATTTAGCATTTTTTTCCAAACAATTTTATTAAATTTATAAATTGATATATAATGTTACACAGATATTTTAATTTTAAGAAGATCGGGTGACATATATCAAATAGAAACTTGTCTCATGTGCTGAAGGTCAAGCGTAAACTTCATTTCCTCTTGCTCAGGAAGTTGTTTTTGCTTCACTTCATTATAAAATTGGAGCACTCGAGTTTAAAGACCTTAGACGAGCTTAAACGACGTAGTTTGACTTAGAGGTGGGAAGTTGTTCAATTGCTAAAAGCATAAATTCCTCTATCCACCGAAACCTTGCTGATTTTGCTTTTGTGATGTCAAGAAACTAACAAATGCTAAGAAAATATCAGAGTCGAGTTTATGTACGGGTTTCTTCTACTACCATATGCCTTCTGTTAGAGCTGTCACAGATATAAAGCTGTTTCGCAGTTTCGGGATTTTCCCAAGAAACTAACAAATTCTAAGAAAATATCAGCTTTTTTTCCATCTCTCTCTCAGAAATCTGAACAAAAGCATAACCTTCTGCAAATCGCCTCTTATTTCGCCCACCAAAGTGCAGCCTCAAGACTCACCAGTAACCATCGCCTTCGCTCTCGCCTTCCAATATAACCTTATTCATCAGTGGTCCACACTACTCAACGACGAAACATCAAAGATCTCACTATCACACTAAATAAGGACAAATCAAATAGCCTCAGGTCTCTAAAGCAGCAAACACCCAATGCCCAATAATCAGCAACACCATTAATTTCCACCGTAGCCCACAAGAAAGACAACATTTAATAAGATGGTCTGAACAATGCATGGACCATGATGAAGAAAACTTCTGTCCCATTCAACAAATTAAGAGGCCTCAAAAGGGTCCCCGCCTAGGAAAAGGAAGACACAGACGGACAGACCGCCAACCGTTTAATTTTTCTCTCAGAAAGCTATAGAAACCACTTGTATATATGTGGAGGCCACATTCAAAGTTGAGAGAAATGAACAGGAAGTAGCAATTATTTTCAGTTACATTAACTTCAAAGCATAAACTTCCAAATAAACAAGAACCTAAGGTCATATTATAAGCAAACAAAGAAGGAAGAACAGGACAGGACCTTTCTGGGGTCTGTACAACCAACGGAAGGACTGATTTTTGTCACCTAGTTACGTTGCCTTATCTAATCCATTGTCCTTTCTCTTTTCCTCCCCAACCAAAAATTGACAGGAGAGTTGAGATTTTAATATATCTGTTAATCATAGTTGCTAATGCTATAGAAACAAACCATAAACAAAAGTTATGTTTCTCAAGCAACGCTTATGATGCTTTCTCCATTGTTGAGACATGGCAGTGCATGTAAACTTGATTGCCTTGATGATGTCTTTCTCTGATCAGACGACAAGGATAGTCCAAGAGACAGCGTCGGGAGATCAAGAGATGAGCTCGAACTCAAGGCAACATCAGACATAGCAGAAGCTTTTGGATCTCCATGCCCCAGAGGTAGCTCCTCCACAGGATTCCTGCCCAAGAATGAAATCGCTCCAGACCCAACAGCCATTGGATATAGTGGCATCATTGGAAATCCATTGATGTTGCTGGTTTCAGATGATGCAGTGTGCACAAGATGTGGATGAGGCATATTATCTTGAGGCTGGATCTGTTCTTCCACTAGATTTGCCGAAACCTAAAAGAAAATTAAATCATAAAACCGGAACTTTCACTTCTGAAAATTTTCTATGCATAAGATATTTCCCTGCCTATACTTTTCAATATAATCTTTTGGTCAGTCAACTCTTTCAATTGCAGGGAACCAAAACATTCTAGTCTTTAAACTTCTCTCCTATTGCTAAGAAATTCATCAAATTGATAGAATGTGCATGCTACGCATATTCAGTTTGACTAGCAATTGGAAAACTAGGAATCACGTAGGAATTCAAACCCATTTTGCAAGACTGGCACAGCTTCAAAAGGTAAAAGTGAGTACAAATAATAATATAAAATTGGGCTTGGAAGTTTCTTTGTTGCTTCTCATTTCCCTTTTCAGCAACTAACAGATTGCTAAGAAATTAGATTGAAGGGCGATTAGATTAAAAAAAGGTAAAGTATTAATGAAGAAAGAATCGATTAAATAGTATAACGAAGAAATTACCGAGTCAGTGGTAATGTCAAATAAGCTGGATCTACGGCGTCGCCGATTAAGGTTGCTTTTTCGAAGGAAGTACTTCTGAGCATGGCTCGCAACCTGTGTAGGAGTCCTTGTTTTCACATAGTTCCTTGAGATCCCTCTCCAATCGCCCTTCCCTACCTTCTGCAATCCCAGCAAGAACAGCCTGTGTTCTTCCTCCGTCCAAGGAACCCCTATTCAATCACCCCCAAATATCTCTATCATACGATATCGAAAAGGCATAGTTCATTTTCAAGCAATCTGTAGATTTCAAAAGTCTAACATTATCTAAATCGGCTAGAAATATCAGCGGAGAAATCAATCGTACTTTCACCAATTCCAAAACACCAATAACAAGTTTCAAATAATAATCCGTGATAGAGATAACTATAATTGATAATCCCAGTTTCAGAAATCGATAGAAGAGATAATACCAAATACAGAGCAAGCAAAAACATGTTTCAAATAGTTAACCATTTCAAGAAATCTTTAACTTAAAATCCATCGAGGAAATTAATCAGACCTCGCTTGCGCTCACGCTCGCGGTGCTTGCCGGGATTATGAACAACGGCATCGTCGGCGGAGGCATAACCGGCGGCGAGAACATCTTCCTTGTTGTTATTTGAGCCATCCTGAGGTTGCTCGTACTGCGAAAGATTGTTCATACTCACACACTTCCTCATGGAATCCACAACGACTCTAACGCCGAACAACATGATCTCGCCGGCGGAGGCGGGGCAAGAAGCATCACCGTCGGTGGAGGAGGCGGAGAGTGATCGTGACATGCTGCGATCGGAAGTGACTTGGGCGAAGCGATGAGAGAGAGAGAGAGATGAGTGAGTGAGAAAGGGGAGTCACGAAAATGAAAATATTGAATTGAAGGGGAAAGAAAGGGGGAGAGAGGAAGGGCATATATAAGGGAGACAGAGACGGAGACAGGGAGGAGGTGGCAACATGTGGAGAGAAATATGTTGAAAATATTTTACGGAGATTAAGGATTGTGCGGGTACCATGAAACGCCACGCAATATAGGCACACACGCAATCCTCAATCTCAGTTAAATACTTTCTACACAACTCTCCACAAGTTGCTGCCCCTCGCCCCCCTCCCCCTTCTTCTTTCCTACTTGGTTCATCGCTTTTCTGCATACATTTTTAATGTGCGTGTATTTTGAAACATGACCCATACTTAGCTTGCAGGCTTTATATATTTTTTTTCTTAGGAAGACAATTTTGTTTGAAATAAAGTAAAATGATGCGGTTTACTAAAAAAAAAAAAAAAAGTAAAATGATGCAGTACACAAAGAGTTAGTTCACTTAATAAAAAATTAGTTCATAATTTATGAAGTTATGAGTTTAAATTTCGCTACTGATAATATAATGTTACTGATACTAAAAATATCATCAATAGCGCGTATATCTCATAAAATACTTAATAAAAACTCTGAAATAAAATTTTAATATGGTGAAAGCTAGACAGGAAACTTTGTAAAACTTCATATTGCAATGCCTTCCCTTGCAACAAAGATTTTAATATATAGATTGATTGTGTATATATAGATTAATATTGTATTTTTCTTAGAAAAATAAATATACATGCAAGTACATATGTAGTGTGGCATATTACTCAAATTACAACTCAATTTGTAAGATTTATGACCGAAGCATTTTATATTTACAAGTCAATCTCTTGTAATATTGACAAATTAGTATTTACAAGTTAAATAGATTTACAAATCAGGTGTGTCTAATTTGTAATTAAATCTCTAAAAAGAGTAGTAATTTAATAGTTACAACTCAATCTTTTAATCTTAAAAGTCAACCTCTTTTTTTTTTTAACTTCACCAAAATAATTTGTAATTTCATAGATTTAGTTATGGGCATAGTATGTTCCTAATAATAGTTCATCAATTAAAAAAATGGATTTTCCTCATATTGTTTGATAGACATTTTACAGCGTAAGCTATTTTTTCCCAAGGAGGCCAAATTAAGGTATTGGTTTTGAGGTTAGAGCATAAGGGCAAAAGAATCCCAAAACAATAGGGGTTGAAAAGATCATGGTTTTGACCAATATTAGGATTGTTTAAATGTAGGGTGCGTATAGGCTGAGCAACCTATATTTTTTCCTTTTTCTACTTCTTCTTCCAAGTGCAGATAACCCCAAGGAGTTGCGGGTTTTTTTTACCAATTGGGGCCCTCCCTTCACTACCCCCATGATCAATAACCTACTACCTTCATTTTATTGCATTAATTAAAAAAAGTTATGAATAGTATAAATACAAATACAAACTAATAATTAATGCTACCTCCGATCCTAAATGTAAGAGTTAGTTAAATAATTTGATTAAATTAAAAAAATAAATTAAATTAGTTATTTATAATAGATATGTGTTGTTTTTCTTAAAATATCTTTACTAATCAAGTGTATTAGTTAGAATTACTATTATTAGAAAGATTACCTTGAAAAAATAGATAAATCTGAGAGACAAAATGGATTGAAGTCTTATATTTAAGATCAAAATAAAAATTAAATAAAATCTTATATTAAGAACTGAAGATAGTATGTTTACAAGTAAAATACTTTAACTACCTATCTATTTTATGTAAATTAAAGAAATCTTCTCTTTGTTTTAAAAGTACATATGAATCTTTCTTGAAATTAAAATGCACGTTACACAAACCTCTCTTGTAAATTAAAGATTATATATATATCCACCCAACTGTAGGTGACATTTAAGTTTGATTTTTAAACTTTTATTCTGACCGAAATACCCTTTCTTAACATAAAAGTTATTTAAACATATATATTTGTTAAAAAATAATTTTTGATACAAAAAAAACAATTTAATTAATACGTGTATTTTCAAATTTTAGTATGCAATAAAATTTATCAATTTGTTTATATTATAAAATTTTATAACTTTAATTTTTCATTGCATAATGAAACTTATTTATGTAGATTTCTTTTAAGTGGCTAGAAAATATCTTAATAAATATTTTTTTCATCCTATAATATAAATTGTCTAAATTTAAGAGACTATAGAAATGATTTAAATTTATAATTCAAAATTTTGGAAAAAAATTGTTAAAAATATTTATATATATTTATTTAAAGAATTAATTGAATCTCCGTTCAAGGTTTTTATGTCTACATTAAATTAATTAATTAATTTTCCACCCAGTATGATAAAAACACTAAACAAGTAACTATTTGTAAAAATAAAAAATAAAATTAAGGAAAGAATTTTAAATTATAATGTTATAATCAGGGATCTAATGTTATAAATGGAAAAAATTTTAAATAAAATTATAATGTTATAATTAGGGATTTATTTATAGTATTACTGTAGGAGAGAAGATGAACAAACAAACATATGGAGTAATTTTCTGTCCAAAAAAAAAAAACATATGGAGTAATTTTGAAGACATGACAGATCAAAGGAAAGTCATGGTGATTCCGGGTCAGACGGAGCTTTTGTATAAAATATTATAGCTTCATCGCGCCTCTTAATTTCTTTTCTTATCCTTGTTTCTTGGGTCCCTCAAAGCTTAATTTATAATTAGATTAGGTAAGATACGAGTTTAAGGCAAAACAATTATGCAATTATACATTGGGACTCGTAGGTTTTCTTTTGATTAAAGCCAATGTTGGGGTGACGACATTAATTGGTGGTAATAATTTGATCAATATATATACTTTATTCATGTCATGAATCATGCTTTCAAAGCATCCACGCTTGTCACTTTATTTGGCAGAGAGAAATAGAAACCAGGGAAAAAGAAACAGAGAAGGGATTGCCCAATCCACTTTTCTTTTGTTTGGTTTGCGTATTTTTAGAAGATAAAGTTGCAAGGAAGAAACTATTTTTGGCCACGGATAGATTGGTACAGTACACACAATCCAAATTTGCTGGTGAATAAATTTGTAAATCAGATTTTCCTGTACTTGTGTTTGCCAAAAGTTTAAAGGTTGGCACAATAGAATATATATATATATATATATATATATATACTCCTACCGTCCTTAATATAAGACATATTTAACCAATTTGATTAGATTAAGAAATTTAGGTAAGTTAGTTAATTATAAGAAATATGACATGTTTTTCCTAAAATACTATAATTATCTTTCTTAATACCCTCCCTTCCTCTTTTACTTGATTATGGTTGAGGAAGTATCTATAGGAGTAATTTAGAAAAAATTGATAAATATGATAAATAGGTCTCATATTTATAACCAAAATTAACTCAACAATTAGGTCCTATATTAGGAAACAGAGGAGTATATTGCATGGTGAATTATTTTTTCTTTATACGTAAATTTACTTTCGTGAATTTACAAGAGGATCTGATATGATAAATTAAACAAGGAGGACTCACTGTATTTTCACACCTTGATCCTAACATGTTAAGTTGAAATTTTTTTTTTTTTGTTTAAAAAGAACAAAAGTTTCATTAAGTTGGATCACAGATGCTCACTAGAACTATAGTAGATCTCATCTCATGACTCTTGGAGCATCTATATAATTATTTACATATTATTAATAGATCATCCTATCAATAGCGGGATGCAAACTAATCAACTTTCGATGATGAAGCTATATAAAATTCTGAGAAAAAAAAATCTATTGGTATTGAAAGAGAAGTTTTTGCCCAATATTTTTCAAAGAATTTAATTCTAACAAATAAAATTAAGAATAATATAAACAGATATGGATGTCCAAACTCCAAACTCCAAACACGGAAACGAAGAGCCAAAACAGTTGTGCACGACGATAATGAGCAATTAGCAATGAGCAATATTAACACAAATATAAAAAGACATTATATATTGTTAATCACTATTTACGATATAAATAATAAATGACCTGATTAAAATCCAATCAGTTTCATACGTAATTGTCAGATTAAATTAAAGGCATATTTATAATGCGCAGCTGATGAGATGCTCACTGAAATGGAATTTTATTGGAAAAATTAAGGTTGAGGAGACAGGCTCAGACGAGGCGTCCAAATGCCACATGCATGCATGAATACTCCATCTTTATCTATCACGTTATAGTGCTTTAATTTTTTTTTTGCTATATTTTTCTCACCAACTTGTCTTTAAATAAGTACTCATCGGTCCTTATTATAAGACCCAATTTGACTTTTTATTTGTCCTAATTATAAGACCCAATCCATTTTGTTTCTTATATTTATGCATTTTTTTTCAAGATAATCCTTCTAATAATGATAGTTTTAGCCAATATACTTAATTAGTAAAGATATTTTAAGAATGACAACACTTATTTATTATAAATAACCAACTTAACTTACTTCCTTAATCTCCTCAAATAAGTCAATTGGGTCTTATAATTAGGACCGGAGGAGTATCTTTTTTTCACAATATCTACGCAAAATAATATTAAATTTAAGCAAACCTCATCAGCAATTTAATTGCTAAATATTGTATTCGAATATAGTACCACTACTAGCTACTTGCATTAAACAAGTCCACTAATTATAACTTAGCGATCCCTTTTATCAATATAATTCATCTTTCAAAGAAAACTATGTTATGTTCTCTAGATTTATTCATATAAAATGATGCTGTGTGTGACGATTGCAAATTAATTAATTGTGTGCTGAACAATGGACGGTGACTGCTTAAATTGGTATAAAATTACTACTCCTCTGGTCCTTAATATAAGACTCATTTAACTAATTTGATTAGATTAAAGAAGTTGAGTAAGTTAGTTAATTATAAAAAATATGACACGTTTTTCCTAAAACACCAAAATCATCTTTCTTAATACCCCTCTCCCTCTTCTACTTGATTATGATTGGGGGGTATCTATAGGGATAATTTAAGAAAAATGAGTCTTATATTTAGGACTAAAACCAACTCAATAATTGAGTCCTATATTAAGGACCGGAGGAGTACTATTAATTAAAGAGCAATCATC